GGATAACCGCTCCGGGTTTCCTCCATCTCCATAATTCCAGGGTACAAAAGGAGACAGAGGCCCACAGGGAAGAGTGGTTAGAAAGAGTAGCTCTTCTTTCCTTTTCTCCGGCAACAGAAACAGTGAAGATTAACTCCCCAAATCCCTGTGTAACACTGAAAACCCAGCAGATGAAGTTTCCTTTGAAATTGCATCTGTCTGAGTAAGAGGTCCGCAAAGCCTGTATTTTAATGCCGAAATAACTCCAGTTATTTGAGCTGCCGTTACTGCCGAAACATTTCTGAAGAGGAAGAAGAAAAAGGGTTCTCAAGATGACAAGGAATTCGTCGGAAAGGACTCGGCACAAACAAGGTGCTGATTTTTTTCCCTACCAAAGGGGTGGGTACAGTTGAGAAATTGTCCCCGTCCCCGAAGAGAGACAGATGGACCTTTTCAGGTCACAGATTTCCCTGCATCAGGTGGCCACTGAGTCTCTCTGCTGAGTGTCTGTAGGTCAGGCCATTCTCTCTCCACCTTCTGAGCTTTCCCTGGTGCTAGAGATGCTGCAAATCCAGATGTGATTGGCAAACGGTCTTGACATCACAGAGAGCAAACTGCAGTGCTGCTTGCTCTTCTGGGGCTGATTTCAAACCACTGCGTTAACAAGAGCCGGCACTGAGTCCCCCACCCCCCCACCCCAAATTAGACTGTATAATCCATTTTTTTAAAATAACGCAGGGATAGATACTATGTAAGGTTTTCCAAAATTTCTTTCTGTCCGTCACCTTTTCATGATCGATTTTGCTGCCGTGGTACACAGCAGAAGGTTGGCAGTCAAAGTGTCCAGATAAATCACTTAACAGGGAGGCTGTAGAGACACTGCTGAGTTAGCTCCATAACCATCCAGCTGAGATAAGAGTCCGCACTCACTCACTCCCTTCTGTCCTGGACAGAATCGTGTGGTTTACATTTGCCAGAAATAGATGTGCAAATATTTCCTCTTGGCTGGACTTCCTTCTCTCTATTGTAGTATCAATAATCATGAAAAGATGAACACAGAAGTAGAGCAGCATTGCTTTTGATAATCATCACCCCTCATCAAGCACCTACCTCAGACCTGCCTCCAGAATACAGCCTCCCCTCCCCGCCCCCAACATCTGCTCAAGTAGGCATTATTCATCCATTTTTACGACTACGTAAACTAACCTGCAGGAAGTTAACTTGTCTGGGCTCATATTTCTGGTATGAAGTGGAGCCTGGCTTCCAGCCGAGCTCTGTTGGCCGGCAGCGCCTCGCTCTTTCCAATATTCAGCAAAGCCTCCCTAAGTAACATATTTGATTGACTCAGCACTTTCCATGACTGTCCCTCCAGCACATTCACTTACCTCTTTCCATGAACCTCCTCCCACCTCTTTCAAAACTGTTACTTTTCCTTGTAATCGCACAACGATGACTTGAAAGAAAAATTCCAAACGTGGGGTACCACTCTCTCTCACAACTATTTTCAGTTTCTATGCTTTCTTCCAGTCTTTGCCTGCATGGACTTAACTAGTATATCGTTTTAAATACTAAAAATGTATAACCTTCTTTTGCATTTAACATTATATCATGAATACATTCCCATGTTTCTACATAGTTGTTATAATTGCTAATTTAACAACTGCATAATATTCCACCAAGTTGATAGACCCCAATTTCTTAAGCCATTTCTCAAACCATTTCTCCTCTGTTGAGTTGTTTATAATGCTTCCCTACTATAAGTAATGTTACAATAAACGTTTTTCAAGAATATACCCTTTTTCCTTTCAGTGAGATTTTTCTTTAGGCTAAATTCCCAAAAGCACAATTACCGGACCAAAGGGTTTGAATATTTCATGTTTGGCTGTCCTCCGTACGTCCTGAACGCACACATATGAGTCCCAGCATTGCCCTCCTCACCTTCTAAGCGTAGTTCGGGACAGACATTCAGCCCATCGCTTCACTCCCCTCGCCCTTGATAAGGCATCGGGCTGGGGTGGGGCCTGCTCGCACTCATGGATGCGGACAATTTCGGGATGTAAGTGAGTTAGACTTCTCCTGAAATCCTTGTGTTCCCCATTCAGATACCGGGCCAGAAAGATAAAAACAGTTGCTCAGTGCTGGCAAGGGTATGAAGAATTAGACACATGAATAAGCTATAAAGTGGTAGACCTCTCTGGAAGGCAGTTTGGCAATATGTAGGAAAAGCTCTAAAAATGTGTAAGTGTTTAAGCCACAGCCATTCTACTTTAATAACTTAATCCCACAGCGGAAAAGTCAAGGAGAGGTACAAATATTTAGCTACAAACATATTCCTTATAGCCTTTCGTATAAGAGCAAAAGTAGAAACACATTTATGTCCAGCAAAAAGAACGGGCTAGGGGCTTCCCTGGTGGCGCAGTGGTTGAGAGTCCGCCTGCCGATGCAGGGGACACGGGTTCGTGCCCCGGTCCGGTTAATTGCTTCCTTTCCAGTGTGGATGCATTTTATTTCTCTTCCAACTCTAACTAGTAATTCAGTATTATGTTGAATAGAAGTAGTGAAAATTCTCATTATTGTCTTGTTTTTGATCTTAGAGAGAAAGCCTTCAGTCTTTCCCCATTGAATATGATAGACCTGGGTTTTCCACATATGGCTGTTATTATGTTGAGTTGGTTTCATTCTATTCCTGCTTTGGGTAGGGTTTTTAATCATTAAAGAGTGATGAACTTTGTCACATACTTTTTCTGCATAAGTTGAGATAATCATATGATTTTTCCCCCTTCATTCTGTCATTGTGAAGATCCCACATGCCGCGGAGCGGCTGGGCCCGTGAGCCATGGCCGCTGAGCCTACGCGTCCGGAGCCTCTGCTCCGCAGCGGGAGAGGCCACAACGGTGAGAGGTCCACGTACCGCAAAAAAAAAGAACTGGCTTAAAAAATTATGGTATCTGTATAATGGAGTGCTAATGCAGTCATTTTAGATTATAATTGTAGGCACTTCCCTGGCGGTCCAGTGGTAAAGAATCCACCTTCCAATGCAGGGGACACGGCTTCCATCCCTGGTCAGGAAACTAAGATCCCACACGCCATGGAGCAACTAAGCCCGCAAGCCACAACTACTGAGCCCAGGTGCCTCAACTAGAGAGCCCACATGCCACAAACTACAGAGCACATGTGGTCTGGAGCTCATGCGCCACAACGAGAGAAGCCCGCGCACCGCAACAAAAGATCCTCCACACCTCAATGAAGATCCCACCTGCCGCAACTAAGACCTGATGCGGTCGTAAAACTAAATAAGTGAAAATAAATAAATTCCCTTTCTTTAAAAAAAAATATAATTGTAGATGACCTAATAGGTTAATGACATAAACACAGGTTCACAATATATTTAATGAAAAAACGAGTCACAAACTGGCACTTATTATATTCTCTATTTGTGTAAAATGTATAGTTATAGAAATGCTTCAATAATTAACAGCATTTATTGGATATACCTGCATATTGGAATTATGGGTACTTAATGGTCTTGCTTTTAAAAAATTTTTATACCACATATATTATTGCTTTTAATAAGAAATAAAGTTTATTTTTTCTTATTTTTACCCATTTCTAAAGCCTACATGTGCACAAAAATTCTTTTCATACTCCTCCCAGTTGGGACAGGGACAGGAAGAACTGTGTGTGTCATCCTGTAGATTCTGTGTGTACCTCCTCATCCACGTGTCCAAACATCCAGGGATAACAAAGGTGTAACCATGGCAGCAAAGGAAATGAGGATGCCTGGACCCCTATAATCAGGGACGTGGATATCTCTCCCTGCAGAAGGGAGGAGGGACTCCTTGAGAAAATAAGGGTAGCAGGAGTAAATACTGTCTCCCCTCGCTGTATTAATTATCTATTGTTGCACAGTGAATCACCCCCCGACTCAGGAACTTAAAACAACAGACGTGTATGATCTCTCACAGTTTCTGAGAGTCAGGAATCTGGGAGTGAGCTCACAGAGTGGCTCTGACTCAGGCCCCTCACGAGACTGTAGTCAAGCCAGGACTGCGGTCATCGTGAGGCTCGACTGGGGCTGGAGAAGCCACGCTGCAGGGCACCACACAGTTGTTATGAGACAGGCTGGGACCTGGGACCCGGGGCCCTTTGCGGCCGTGCTGCAATCCTTGCACCTGGACAAAGGTCTCCTTGAGCAACAAAATACAAAGAAACTATAAGAGACTAAAACTAACTGCGTGCAAGGTAGTTAGGGCAAGTTAACGGACAACAAGATACAAAGAGACCAAAAATCCAACTGCCACTTCTGAGGAGCCAGGAGCAAAAGCAGGGGACTGTGCATGCCCCCTGCACACACCGCCACCGAAAGGGTGGGCAGACCCCCTAAGCCAGCCCTCCGGCCCGAGCCCTGGACCCGCCCCTCCCCTCCCCCCATGCCGTCCCCTTGGGGAGCAGGCAAGCGAGGAAACCTGTGGTTTGTTCTCGCTCCCCGCTGCTGCAGCAGGGGCCCCGATAAAGCCCTGCCTGAATTTCTTGTCTGGCCTCTGATCAATTTCTATTGCTTAAGGAGGCCAAGAACCCTGGTCAGTAACAGCTGGGGACCTCAGTTCCTCACTGGCTCTTAGCTACAAGCCTCATTTCCTTGCCTCGTGCACCTCTCCGTACACGGTGTGTCCTCGTGACATGACAGCTGGCTTCCTGAATGAGGGATTCAAGAGAGAGTGAGAGAGAAAGCACTTGACATGGAAGCTGCAGTGTGTTTTAAAACCTAATCTTGGAAATAAACTCCAGTCACTTCTGTATCCTATTGGTCACACAGACCAACTCTGATATAGTGTGGGAGGGACCAGGCAGGAGTGTGAACAACAGGAAGGGTCTTCTTGGAGGCTGCCTACCACACTCCGCAACCCAAGTGCTACACCACTGAAACCCCCTCAGCCAGAGAACTGGGGGCTCAGAAACTAAAAGCCACCTAGAAGGAGTAAAGTTGGGGGACCATGGTTAAAAATGAATCTACAGGGACTTCCCTGGCGGTCCAGTGGTTAAGACTCGGCACTTTCAATGCTGTGGTCCCGGGTTCGATCCCTGGCTGGGGAACTAAGATCCCACAAGCTGCGCGGCATGGCCAAAAAATAAAATAAAACAAGATGAGATAAGATAAAATTAAATTAAAATCTACAAAATTCTAATAGGTAATTTTTACTTTCATTGAATAAAACACTAGACAATATAGTATGCGAAGAGCTTATCAAGGGCATATTAAATTAAAAGTAATGGGTACTGTACAATTAATTTCCATTTCACTATGCTTTGCTTACTAGAATCTTTTGCAGATTCCCTTGCCAGCAATTTTAAGGAGATTCTTACAAATTTATATTGCTTCGTTGGATGCAGATACTATGTACACCAAGAAGGCTTTTTCTGTGTCTGGTCCTTGGTGCAATGTGAGTGCCTCTCTCATTGATTTGCTCTAAGTCTTGCTTTGGCTGTGATCCTAAAGGCACAACTTTGGCCAAATGTAGTTTACTATTCAGTTACATGAAGGTGAGAATGATTACATTCCCTCAAGGCTTCACATCAGGGTTATAAAGCCTCAACGTCACCCTTACTACTTGGTGCCAAAGCCAGAGCACAGAGGCCTCTCACTTCGCTCAGCTCCTGGGCTGGCACCCCTGTAGGGCAGGCCGTGCCCCTTGTCTGCACCGCTCCCCACACCTGGCCCAAGGCTGCACTACGTCAGAGTCTCCACTGCCCGGGCTCCCTCGTCACCTCCTTTTCCCTTCCTGGCTTCCAACCCGTTTTTTAAATTATTGCCAACAAGAATGACGGACAATCTGCTTATACTCTGCCCTGAATTTTGGAAGGTAACCAGAGGCATCAAGTGAAGTGAAGGATGGAATTTTAGGAAGAATTAGTGTGACCTTTATAGTCATCTAGTGACTTGACTGTAAGGTTGCTTTATACCCTCAGGGCTTACAGCAGAGTATTTACTAGACTTGTTAGTAAATGTATGAATGAATGAAGGGTTGGAGAAGGGTGAATTTCAGCCTTCTGCATTTACCTTGTCGAATGAAAAGTCGACTCTGCTCTATTATGTTCCCCCAAACCTCACCCTATCAAAAAAGAGGCTGGCCTGTGAAATTCTGGCCAATGGGCCATCGTATCTTTGCATTGTTAGTACCACGGCTTTTCTCCTGCCTCTTGAGGTCAGAAGACAAAGTCAGGCCTATGGACTCTTAAGCTGAGCACGTTACCACAATACAGCGTATCTGCATTAGGAGTCTCGAGCCAAGTAACAAGAGATAGAGAAGAATCTTATGGATGAGACGCAGAATGCGTCCAGAAGTAGAAGGAGGGTGGTACTGTGAGGAAAGTTTACCTGCTTGCAGGTTTGACAGAGATTGGGGTAAATCCAAAGGGGTAGATATGGTAGTGTCTAGCAAGGGGATAGCAGGGGCTTAAACACTTGTGTTGGTCAGGCTCTCGCAGGGGCCAAGTGACAAACTGAACGTACGCTAGCTTAGATAAGGGAGGCAGGGACTCAGAGGCAAGGATTTTAATTCCGTAGTAATTCTTTCTCCCCGTTTTGTCTCTGCTTTTTTGTGTGTGGATTTCATTCTCTCCTCCTACAGAGACCTTTCTTCACACAGCAGTGGATATGGGAGCCCACCTCACTGAGCTCCCAGTCAAATGACCCTTTGACCGGAGAAGTAAGGGTTCTTCTTCTGGGTCCAGCTCAGTATACCCTGAGTTGGGACTCTGTTGGGTGACAGGTCCATCGCTACACCAATCACTGTAGCCAAGAAGCTGGCTGTGTTTCCTTAAACCCTGTAAGCTTCACTTTCCTCGTGTGTAAAGTAGGGATAATATTAACACCAACCACAAATTGTTATTGTGAAGATTACATTAATTTAAATGAGATAACACATGTAAAGTACTAAGTTCCATATGTGGCACACAGTAAATGCTCAGTCTATTGTCTATTTTGGCAGTTGTTAACGCTCTGTGATCTGTGCAGTATGGAGACCAAACCACAGTATCTGCTCTCCTACTTGTTACCCAAATGGCACAGCCTTCTGCTCTTGCCAACCTGCCCCTATTCCTACAGCCAGACCGGAGTTATGCTGAATAATATACATAAGATACTATAAAATCATGCATGTAGGAAGGTGTGAGAGGGCCAACAGAGGTCAAAACCAGAATCATACAATTTAGACTTAAAAGAACTTTTTGATATTTCAGAGAACAAAACTTGCACCCTTACTTATAGAGGCAGAAAGCACAAATTAGTGCCTAAGATCCTGTTATCGTGAAATGATAGCATACTGGATTTGCAGGCTGACGAGCCAGTCTCAGCTATTGTTGATTTGCTTTAAGGCCTGTTTCTTCCTTCTGTAAAATGGGGATAATGATATTCCCCTTCAACTCCCACACTGGGATGTGGTGAGACTTAACGAGGCACTTTGGGTAAAATGCTTTGAGCTTAGCTAATGAGACCCTCTGTGCAGTCACTCAGTGCTGTTACAGGGTCATGTGTGTCTGGAGTGAGAAGCTGGTTGGCACCTACTTCAGAGATCTGCTAAGAAACGCAGACACACTAAACGGTCTTTGTAAAAGTGGAGATTAAATCAAAACAGAAAGTCTGGCCCAGTTACTGCCTTGTCCTAGTAGGACCTCTTGCCCGACCTCACTGACAGCCCTTTCCCCTGAGGACCACCTGTACTGATTACGTGCCCTCTCCTCATCGTAACTCCTCTATTTACTCTCAAGTCAAGCATCATCCATTCCACTGAGGCATCATCCTTCCCTCACCACAGTTGGAGATTTATAGTTAGATAATGTGAATTTTGGATGAATTACCATTGTGTTAACATCATATGAATTACATGTCAATTATATCTCAATAAAACTGGGGGGAAACCCCCAATATATGAGGAAAGATAATTGTATGCTATAGAGCAGCAAATTGAAAAACAGCTTATTTAATTATAGTTGATTTACAATATTACATTAGTTTCAGGTGTACAGCACAGTGATTCAGTATTTTTGCAGATTATATTCCATTACAGGTTATGACAAGATAATAGGTGTAACTCCCTGTGCTATACAGTATATCCATGTTGCTTACATAGTTTATATACAGTAGCTTGTTAATCCCATTCCCCTAATTTGACCAACCTCCCTTCTCTCTCCCCTTTGGTAACCACTAGTTTGTTTTCTGTATCTGTGAGTCTGTTTCTGTTTTGCATATACATTCATTTGTATTATTTTTTAGATTCCACATATAAGTGATATCGTATAGTATTTGTCTTTCTCTGTCTGACTTATTTCACTAAGCATAATATTCTCTAGGTCCATCCATGTTGCTGCAGTTGGCATTATTTCATTCTTTTTTGTGGTTGAGTAATATTCCATTCTGTATACGTACCACATCTTCTTAACCCAATCATCTGTTGATGGGACTTTGGTTGCTTCCATGTCTTGACTATTGTAAATAGTGCTGCTATGAACACTGGGGTGCATGTATCTTTTTGAATTAGTGTTTTCATTTGAAAAACAGTTTTTCCATAATGTACTGAAATGACAGTTAAACTGTTAAAAAGGCATTAACCCAGTGGTATGCTTGGGGCCAGCTGATACTGACTTGTGAGAACTGATTGTTAAATTTTTAGGAATTTTTTGACCCAGTTGTTAAATACAGTTGTTTTTGAAGCTAAATTATATAAGCTTACAATTTTAAAAATTACATTGAAAACAAAGCTCATAATTTCTCAAAACTTACCACTTCATAGTAATTTTACGATTATATATTCTCTTGAGGTTATTTATAGCTAGTGTTTATGTCTATCGTATCTGTAATGATGTGCTTCTCTGTATTTCTTCCCATCTGCCTGTTCAGTGATATCCTCTTGGTTGCCTGAAATAGCCACAGTAGGAGCATGTACACCGCAGAAACTGGACTGCTACAAATCAGGGCTCCCCCTCCCCCCAGGAGCCACTTGTCAAACATTGACCAACACACCTTGTCTAGCCCCATAAGGACAAAGAGAGAACAGGAATGGAGACAACAGGAGACAAAAAAAATGTCAACAATATTCTGGAAACTAGACAAGCAGATGAAAGAGAGTTAATTAATTTAGCAGAGAAGATACAGCCAAAACCCAAGCCCATAGGGAGGAAGCCTGGAAGAAGCAAGCCAACTTCCACAGAACCTTAGAAAGAAACAGAAATTGGTTCCCTTTGTGCAGAATATAGGTGCAGGTGCACTGAAAACAAATGTGTTGAAAATTTGTGCAAGGAATGAGGAGACTCCCTATTTCTTCCCACAAACCTATGCAGCCAGGCCCTGGGAGAAAAGGTTGATCAGAGATCATCTGGGCAGTGGGCACAGCTGGGAGCTGGCATGTGACCTGCTGCTGAAACAGGATTAAATGACAGTCTGCATTTTGGATTATAACACCCTGCAGTCTCTTCCCCCCTCTTGGCTCCCAGAATGCTGGCAGTGAGGCTTATACCCCACAGGCAGATCAGATGATTCATCTCTAGGGAAGCTGGCAAATCCAAGAGAAAAGACTTACAGAGACTGGCCTAGCAGGATCCCCTAATGAAACATCCAGGTTGCCGCAGAATCACCAACCCGGAGCCCACTGGTTCATAAACTTTGCCCAGGCACACATCCCCTTACTGTGAGCACTAAATCACCAGACATTGGCGGGAAGCCTCTAACATGAAGAAAAATTATTTGCAAAGTCAAATTCTATATCCAGACAAGCTATCAAGTGCAACAGTCGAATAAAGACACTTACAAAGTCCCCAGACATTTACCTGCCATGAACCCTTTCTCAGGAATCTACTGAAGGATGTGCTTCAACAAAACAAAGAATTACCTAAGAAAGAAGAGAGAAGCCCCAGGAAACAGAGGATCCAACACAGGAGAGAAGGAAAGAGGATTCCCAGGATGATGCTGAAGGGAAGCTCTGAGCTGGTAACTGCAGTGGGCCAAGGCGGAACCAGCCCCGAGTTTGGAGCAGGAAGACAGCTCCAGGAAGACATCCCCACAGGGAGGGAAACACAACTGAGAGATTACTAATCAGTGT